AAAAACACTGACTTGTACATCGGCTGGCCCCGCAAGTCATTGTATAGGCCACATCGCATTCAAACGCCACTACGAATGTACAAATGGAAGTAGAATGCGTGCCGCATCCCAAAAAGGGATTGATCAACGGCAAATGCTTTATCCTTTTGCTTTGCTTTTAATGCTCAACACTCCCCTTCGGGCGCAAAGGCACCCCAATTCACACCCAACTCGTGCCTTTAAGTTGGCCAGCTGTTAGCCTGTTACGCCATGTTTCACAGTTGTAGAATCCAGATCGATTGTTGATGCACGACGAGCTTTGCTAGGTTCCTGATTTACGCAACTTTATAACATAAAGCTTCTCTGAAGTGCACTCTTCAAGACCACGTCTATATATATCTTTTCTGTCTCGTTGGTTGCGTCTACATATAATCATAATCTATGGCTTTGGACTAGGAAAGCTTGGTCAGTCAGAACTGTTTGAGGATGAAGTAATCAGCTCAAGCATCCCGTACTACGTACTTAATGTGAACGCAGCTGAAGCAGAATAGGCACGGGATTGAAGGAATCTGGGTACTCTAGTTTTCTACAAACAATTTGAGGCCAATTGAAGTTACGGTAAAGTGGGGTGCGATGGAATATAGTGAAGGCAAACACTGTATTGAATGTATCGAGATTTCGACATTATCGGATACGATCCGTGGGCATTCGAAACGTTGGCGGAGCGGTAGACTCGAATTGTAATCTCTGTAAATGATGGCGCTATAAATGAAGCAAACCACTTTTGCGCAGAGGAGGGTGTGAAATCGTTCGTCCAAGTGTTCCACACACTTTCAGAAAGTAGGACGACCTCCATGGTATTGCACAGTCCAAAAGCTTCATCGAAAGTGCCGAAAATTTCTATCTGTGAGCCAATGCGCTGAAATGAAACCCATCACAGACAGCCTTTTTTAGAGCTTGAAAGCAGACAGTAGTTGGGTCTCTAAGGAGGATTTTGCAAAGAAAACGACGTAGCTTGCCTCGTTGGATCATTGCATTTTTTGTAGGCTATGTTCTCAAATATTGAGTTATTTTATATATCAGTACTACATACAAAAGAATGCTGCCCTCAATATTTTGCTGAATTCAAAATAGATTATACAAATACCCCAAAATACCGCAAATAATGAGAAATAGTGGGAGCGGAGTGAAGTTGCATAAGAATATTGTTTTTCTCGGCGTTACAACTATACCATTCCTTTTTATTACATATTATCGGAAAGATTATAAACATTAGGAAGGACCAGTTTCAATTAATGGTTTGTAATTAGTGGTATCAACAATTTCGATTCCAAACAATGGCCCGAAAAGTTCTTTCTGAGAAAGATGATCGGTAAAAATTCAATTTCAATTTCCTCTTGCTGTGTGAGAGCTAGATAACGTGCTGTCGCATCTACTAGACTTCTTCTTAGCACTGTGTATGATCTTCAACCTCTTCAGCGAGTATCGCACAACTGTGCTGTCATGACTCTCGTACGACCTCTCTTTG